GGGCGGATGGCGGCGTCGGCGGCGCGGGCGGGGCGGGGGCGGGCGTCGGCGGAGGAGGACCTGCCGGTGTACCTGGCTCGGCCGGGGACGACGGCGCAGACGCCGCGGCAGAAGTACGGCGGGATGTTCGCCTCGGTGGAGGGCGCCTACGAGAACAAGACCATCGACTTCGACGCCTACAGCGTGGGCAAGAAGGGCGCCCGCACGCCCCGCAGCGGCAGCCGCCACGACGGGATGCTCCTCCTGGACGGCGCGGCCGGCGACGGCTACAGCGAGACCGCCTCCGACGTCAGCGAGGTCTCCGGCTCCGTCGTCAGCTCGCCCGGCGGCGACCGCGACGACAAGGGGCCCCCCGGCGTCCACATCCGCGAGCCCCTCCCCGCCGGCACCAAGGAGCGCCTCTGGCTCCACGGCCTCGGCGGCCACGGCAAGGTAGGCGGGGCACGGCGCCCGACAGCCCACCCTCCCAAGCAGCCCGCCTCGGATCTCTGCAGTTTGCAGTTCTCCCGCCGGGAGGCTGGCACCCTTAGGACCTGGCAGCTCGGGGTCTCTGCTGGACCTCCAGGAGACACAGTAGGGCCCTGTCAGGAAGACCCTGCCCCCCCCTCCAATGCTCCCTCTAAGCTGTGGAGTCTTGTGAGCAAAAATTCTACTGTGTGAGCTACCGGCATTAAAGGTGTGAGCAGGCAATTTGACTACTGCATAGATTACTTTGCACTGGAGCCATCATTCCTGAGCGAAGAGAAAAATGTGTGAGCCGGAGGCTAAAAAACTGTGAGCTAGCTCACACTAACTCAGCTTAGAGGGAACACTGCCCCCCTCCCACCCCACTCCAAGGGGTCTGTGAGGAAGCACGAAGGAGGACCACCAGCCTCCTCGCGGCCCGACGTCTGCCCACAGGGTGCTCGGAAGGGGCCAGGCCTCAGGGGGGTGCCCGAGATCTGCCGGGAGCTGGGCCTCTCTTCCTGTGCTGGAGAGCTCCCCTTCCCCGGCCACCCCTCCCTTGGCCAGGCACCACTCCTGCCTGCAGTCTAGCCCCACCGACTCATTTCCCAAGCTGCTAACCAGGCGACTTGGGTGGTAGCTGACATGGCTGCCAGCCCTCGAAGTCCAGGCAGAGGCCTACCCTCGGAAGTTGCCCGGTTCTTGTCGGAATCGCCACTGGCGCATCGGAGCCGCGGCTTCTGCCCTCTTCTGCTTGGCTTCCCTTCCAGAAAGGCTGAGGACTGCTGGCCTCCTTTCTCTTGGGAGTCGCTGGAGCGGCACAAAGCGGCTGCTGTGGAGGGCCTTTCCTGGGAAACCCGGCTGCCTTGGCTGGCCAGGAACCCCTGGGGGCCGCCTGCAGGTGCAAGGCCATGTGCAGCACAGCACCTTCTAGGCAAGGCCTTGCCTTGGGCGAGGTACAGTCATTTGCCCAGATGTGCAGTGCCACATCTTTATGATTTCCTCCCTCTAAGGTGCCTGGGATGTCGAGGTCGTTCAGGCTGACAGACTCACTGGTCCCAGATCCGCTGGTGAGGCTTGCGGCAGAGGGGGGACTTGGACCTGGGCTGCCACAGGCCTCCTACAGCACTCTAGCCCCTATCCCACGCTGGCACTCAAATGATTAGGTGGGGTCGCCCTGTGGGTCTGAAGCAGCAGAACCAAGTTGGAGTCCGGTGGAGGCACTCTGAAGACCCACCAAGTCTAATTCTGGGTAGAAGCTTTCGTGTGCCCTTTGTTGGTCTTAAGGGTGCCACTGGACTCCCAACTTGGTCCGATGGCTTTTCAGTGTTTAAAAAAGAATTACTTGTCCTGAGCTGGGGCACCTGCCGCTGCCTGCAGCCCCACCTGATTCCCCTTGTTCCTATGTACAGAGGCGCTCATCTGCACATTCTCATGTTCGTTCCCTCCTCCTCATGGTTTCGGAGAATACTGGGGCCCTGGGGGAAGAAGAGGGGGAGAGGCAGGCTGGGTGCTCAGTATCTCAGAGTGCCAAAGCCCCTTTACGCCACTTGCTCAAGTTCTTAGGGTTGCTAGACCACGGCCTGTGCATGAGTGCTCTGCAGAGGTCCAGCCGTCTGGACAAACCCCTCTGGAAACGTGGACGGTGGGGCATCGTTTCTTCCATGCAGAAAAGCTTCCCTGTGGTTTGTGCCTGAGGACATCTGTAGGTGTCCAGACAAGGAGAAGGCCAGGCAGGAGGGCTGCAGCAGCACTGCCTGGTAAACCACCTTTCACTCTGGGCACTGCTCCCTAAATAGGAGCCGTCCAAACACCTCGTCGAGGCCACACACGGTCTTGGCATCGTTGTGAGCGGCCGCTCATGAGCACAGGAAGCCCATCTCAGCAGCAGTCGGGAGCCAAGACAGGTCTGGCACTGCCCACTGTAAGATCACAGCAGTTCTATTCTGCTCAGGATGTGAACTGCGCCACTAAGCAAGGGAAAAAATTAGAGGGCTCATTGCTTGGCATGTGGATCTGATTTTGTAAATGCTTGCCATTTTCTTGATGGCCACTAAATCCAGGCCCAAGATGCCCCACTCTGGCCCATTAGGAGATCCCAGAAGCTGCGGGTGGAATGGCAGAGATGGATCCTGGGAGCCTGACTCCCAGGACTCGGGGCCCTCTGGACCAGTGTTCCCTCTAAGCTGAGTTAGTGTGAGTTAGCTCACAGGTTTTTAGCCTCCAGCTCACACATTTTTGTCTTCGCTCAGGGAGGATGGCTCCAGAGCAAACTAATTTATGCAGCGGCCAAATCACTCGCTCACAACTTTAATGCCAGTAGCTCACAAAGTAGGATTTTTGCTCACAAGACTCTACAGCTTAGAGGGATCATTGCTCTGGACCCAAGAACAGCTCTGCACCAGATCTCCTCAAGAGTAGCCAGCACTGCTGGCCTGTGGAGGCCCTGCAGCTGCCTGTTTGGGAGTCCCAGGACAAGCCCCCAAACTCTTCAGGTGCAACCGCGTAAAATACTCTGAGGAATGTAAACTATTGGTCCTCTTTAGGCTATTTATTAATTTAGAACATTTATTGACCACTTTTCTAACTTAACAGAGCTTAAGGCAGCTTACAGTACAAATTAAATACACAGAATAAAGTACATAAAAAGACATAAAACCAAAATCTAAAATGACAATTGAGGACTGCTTTAACCAAGCGCAGCCCTAAACCAGTGAGACCAGCTGCATCAGAAGTGCAGGCACGGATGTGTGTGCACCTTCCTGGGGAGGTGGTTCCACAGTCATAGGCAATGCCCTCTCTAAGCTGTGGAGTCTTGTGAGCAAAAATTCTACTTTGTGAGCTGCTGGCATTAAAGTTGTGAGTGAGCGATTTGGCTGCTGCATCAGTCAGTTTGGTGTAGTGGTTAAGTGCGCGGACTCTAATCTGGGAGAACCGGGTTTGATTCCCCACTCCTCCACTTGCACCTGCTGGAGTGACCTTGGGTCAGTCACAAGTTCTCTCAGAGCTGTTTTCTCAAGGGCAGTCTTTGAAAGGGCTCTCTCAGCCCCACCTGCCTCACAGGGTGTGTCTGTTGTGGGGAGGGGAAGGGAAAGGAGTTTGTAAGGCGCTCTGAGACTCCTCTGGGTAGTGAAGGGTGGGGTATAAATCCAATCTCTTCTTCTTCTCTGGAGCCCTCCTTCCTGAGCGAAGACAAAAAATGTGTGGACCGGAGGCTAAAGAACTGTGAGCTCGCTCACACTCACTCAGCGTAGAGGCTAGACAGAGGTGTGTCCCTGGTCTTCACTTGTTGGAAGGACAGAGGGACCCTGTTTGCCAGCCAGGGGCCGGCCACCGTAGCCTGCAGGAGAGACGCACGTCTGGTCCGGAGGAAAGCGCCTCCCCTGTCTCTCTGGGGCTCCTGGCCTCTTGCCCTTTGCCGCCCGTCGGGGTGTTTGCTTTCCGGACGCAGGAGGAGGAGGAGGCAAAGGCAGCCCCGCCCGCTCCTTCAGCGCATGGCGCCCCCAAGCCCGGCACGAGGGCAGGGCCTCCCTGTGAGGAGGGTCGCGCGTGGCTCCGGCGGCCTGGCCCTTCCCCCGCCCCCGGGGCTGCGTGGCTGGCCCAGAGGGCTGGCTCGGCGAGGCCACCGCCAGGAGGGGAGGGCAGGGGAGGGGAGGGGGGCT